TCAACGTGAAAAAAAGGAAAAGGAAAATGCGAAATAGCAGAGATCTTTTCTGTACAACAACGCGAAATTCTCCAGAGTAATACTGCCGAATCACACGATGATAACAGGTCTGTCGATGGTGTCACGTTTTTAAACTCTGAAACCCACATACCTGATTCTTCAGAAGACGTGTCTGGTGTCTCGCAAGAAAACCCCATGCTAGAAAAAGCAATTAAATCTGGAAAAAGTTCCGGTTGTAATGTTCAACAAATCAAAGTGTCATTGTTGGAACAACATACGCAAATGCAAACTGCATCAGTAAACATCGGTGCAAGAATTGTGTGCCGAATATAAGTTTGTTAACGATTTTGATACTGGTACCATTAAAACCGAGTTTTTGCAGCCCGATGTAGTAAATGAAATAATTCATTGTGGTCATTTACAATTACCCGTTATTTTTCCACGTTATGGATCTAATGAGCTATTTCCTCTCTCGCTGTGGTCCAAAAACTTACCCGACGGTGAAACTGTGAAGCGTGATTGGTTGGTATGGAGTACCAGGGTGGGTGCATTTTATTGCTTGCCTTGTCGATTGCTAAATACCAATAGTTTCAGTTGCTCCAAGCTTTGCCGTCCAGAAGTGTATTCGCAACATCAGAAGTGGAAAAAAATTTATGATAAACTACCAGCGCATGAAAACAATCACGATCACGTTCAGCCCTATGTTAAATGGCGAGCATTGCATATGCAGGTTCAGAAAGAGACTTCAATTGATACACTTCTTAATGAACAAGTCATCGGCGAAGCGAAAAAATTGCAAGAAATTTTACACCGAATTTTGAAAACTCTTCGTTTTCTTGGTGAAAGAGGATTATGCTTCAGAGGTGAAAGTAATCTTGTTGGAGAACCAAATAATGGCAATTTTTTGGAGATTATAGAGCTTATCAGTCGTAATGATCCTACACTTCATGAGCATTTGGAGAAAGTTAGACGTTCTCAACAGGAGCATAAACGATTGCAAGTCCATTATCTATCAGCTGAAATTCAAGACGAATTTATCAAAATCTGTGCCCAACATGTTATTTCATTTATGGTGAAATAACGGGAAAGTGCCAAATATTTTGCTATTATCGTCGATGCTACGTCCGATTCTAGTCATGTCGAACAAACAACCTTCATTTTGCGCTATCTTCATTTCAATCCAGATAAAATGATAATTACGATTCAAGAGCGATTTCTCTGTTTTATTGACTGCAACAAAAAAACTGGAGCAGTGATCGCCGATTTGATTTGTGAAACTCTCGATAAATACAATATTTCTCTGATAGATTGTTGGGCACAAGGATACGACAACGGAAGTAATATAAAAGGTCAATACAATGGTGCACAAAGTCACATACTGAAGAAGCATCCAAAGGCGATTTATTCACCTTGCGCAGCTCACAGTCTTAATTTGTGTGGTGTTGATTCTGCGGAATGTTGTGCAGCCGCAATCACTTTCTTCGAAGTCGTGCAAAAGTGTTTCAATATATTCAGCAGTAGTGCGGAACGTTGGGAAATCCTAAAAAAAATGTGCCGGGTTCGCTTCACAAACTTTCTGACACAAGGTGGTCAGCCAGAATTGAAGCAGTGAAACCCTTCGCAAATCATCTTAAAGGAGTACAAAAGGCACTGGAGGATTTAGCTGAAGTTACTTTGACAGCAGAAACTCGGAGAGATGTAAATGGCGTTCTAAGGTACAAGAAAAAGTTTAAATGCAGCCTTATGTCTTCTATATGGTCCAAGATTTTGAACGCCATTAATGAAAGGAACATCATCCTTCAAGCTAGAGATATCACTATTGACGTTGAAGCTCAAAATCTTGAAGGTTTACTCTCCGATATGCAGCTAATATGGAATCAATGGGATTGCCTTTTACTGGAATGCAAAATAGTAGCAGCAGGATTAAATGTTTCTTCATCATTTCCTTCCGCCAGGAAAAAAACAATACACAATTTTTCGACGAGAAAGAAAAATACTCAATGGATGTTGATGAAGAAACCGATTTCAAAAGAAATACTTTTTTAGTGATCATTGACTCGGTCATTGCAGGAATTTCAAATCGATTTCATGTTATGCAAAATTTGAATGATGCGTTTTCTTTTTTGTGGCAATTCGAAAAATGGAGGAAGGTTTGCTTCGAAATTCTGCAGCAAATTTAATCAAAAAGTACCACCCAGATGTATCACCTGAATTGGAAGAAGAAATAATCCATCTAAAACACATCTACAAAGCTAAATTCGAAGCGGACTTCCCACCGTTTGTTTTATTAAACTCAATTTTTTCAAAAAATTTAGAGAACATTTTTCCGAACATTTGCGTCGCTTTGCGAATATTTTACACAATACCTGTTACTGTAGCTATAGCTATACTATAGTGCTGAACGTTCCTTCAGTGTGCTTGCCAGAGTAAAGAACTTCCATCGCTCGTGTTCTAAACAAGAGCGCATTTCGGGGCTTGCTACTCTTTGTATCGAAGCACCTCTGGCAAAGCAGTTGGATATTGACGTGGTCATACAAAACTTTGCTGCTCAGAAAGCCTGGGAAGCTCGTATATGTATAAAAAGTGCTAATTGATCTAAAAATTACAGACTTATGAGTTGGTTAACTGACTTTGAATTATACCAGCTTATGTTTGTAATTAACAGTATAACAGAAAAAATTAATTTCATTATAGAAACAAATATTTTGTATTATTTTCGCTAGAAACTGCTCCTTCATTATAGGCTTTTATCATAAATTTATTCCGATCCGTGCTGATTGTTTCTGACTCTATACATTAAAGAAACCCTAAATGGAAAACTCTCAACTGATGACATCAGTGTTGCCGTTTAAGCCCTTTGGTGGCTAGATTTAGCTACCACATACTTTTTTTGGCCACATAAGTTTAAAATTGCCCCTAGCCCTTTTTTTAGCACTTTGGAGAATTTATTCATACTTGGCATGAAAGCGTTGTATATGCTTAATTTGATCTATTTTTTTTTTGATTTATGTACGAGATGAATTTTTAAACTAAGAAAGACTGATATACATACATATATGTATTGTATGTTCCTTACGTTTTTATACATACATACTGTAAGAGTGTTAGGGCTGTTAACTTATCTATTAACGATTTAACTATAGTTTAAAATAGATAAGTTTACGGTCCTTAATATGCTTAATTTGTTAAATGACCCATCAAGTCGATTGACCGGGTATGTTTTTGTGGTGTGATTGTACCAGCAGCTGGTGCGACTTAAAAAACTATTTGGAAATTTAATGATTGTACCAGCATGCTGGTGTGGAGTGGTGAAATTAGCTCAATTTTCTAAGTAAAAGGTATTTCGGCTGAAATTTTTTACACTATATGAGTCAAAGCCGTGTTTGTGGAAGATTATGTTCACGATATAGCAGATGTAAATTAAAAAAAAAAAACAATGTTTAACAAAATGATAGAAAAATTGTGAAATTTCGGTTCTAATCATTTTGATATTTCCTGGACCTCATTTGTAAAGAAATAAATATTGTACCAGCATGCTGGTGTGGAGTGGTGAAATTAGCTCAATTTTCTAAGTAAAAGGTATTTCGGCTGAAATTTTTTACACTATATGAGTCAAAGCCGTGTTTGTGGAAGATTATGTTCACGATATAGCAGATGTAAATTAAAAAAAAAAAACAATGTTTAACAAAATGATAGAAAAATTGTGAAATTTCGGTTCTAATCATTTTGATATTTCCTGGACCTCATTTGTAAAGAAATAAATATTGTACCAGCATGCTGGTGAGTTACAGTGGTCCACAAAATAATAGGAGTGCGTTATTTTGGTCAGTTTTTGCTATTTGTCTTTTGTTTATTTAATGTTTATTATTTTTATACAAAAGTCAAGCTGGGTATACAACAAACAGCGAATAAATTCAGATTTCAACCTTTGTACAAAAATTATTAAAATTCTGTAAATTTTCACCAAAATATCAAACTTTTTAATCAGAATCTTCAGAGAAAATTCTGGTATGCAGTTTTATAGCCCATTCAATTCTAGTCTGAAGAAGTGCAAGTTTCAAGCTGCTAAAAAATTCCGTTGATTTTTGGCAATTTTTTTTGCTGGCACTGTCCCCATATAAAAGAAAATTGTCGAACATACTTTGTATGGAAAAAACGTGAAACACCTTCAACCGAAAAAATTCTCAAAAATCAACGGAATTTTTTAGCAGCTTGAAACTTGCACTTCTTCAGACTAGAATTGAATGGGCTACAAAACTGCATACCAACATATTTTCTAAAGATTCTGGTTAAATAGTTTGAAATTTTGGTGAAAATTTGCAGAATTTTTATAATTTTTGTACAAACTTGAAAATATAAATTTATATGGTGTTTGTTGTGTTACCAGCTAGGCTTTTACAAAAAAATACGAAACATTAAATAAACTAAAGACAAATAGCCAAAACAGGTTAAAATATCCCACTCCTATTATGTTGTGGACAACTGTATATGATTCGAGCCTGATGGTACAATCACTTGATGGAGCCAGAGAGCTGGTGTCGTATATTTCCCCTTTTATACAAAGAGGTTTTTGGTTGGATAAAAAATTAGCTTTTTTCCAGAGTTCATAGTCTTTCTATACCATTACTTATTTAAAATGTTAGCGTGTATACTTATATATGTATATGTAAGTAAAAAATTGTAGCTACCAGTTTTAGCCACAACGACTTTTTAGCTCTTTTTTAGCCCTTTTTTAAAGGAATTCGGCTACCACTAAAAATGATTCGCGGCAACACTGGACGACATGCTTTGTAAATTAATACAATTTATGTATAGGGGCCCTTGATTTTTCAGTCCCGGGCCCGAGTTTTCTCTCGACGGTCCTGCTTATAGGTGGCTTTAAGAGCAGATATTCGACGGCAAGGGCAATGTTAGCCTCAAGATGCACCGACACTAAGTCAAACTTGCGATCATCTGCCACCAAATTGTACAAATTAAATAGGCGTTCCGATTTTGCAAACCAAAGATCTGGATTTGCCTTGCTAAATTTCGGAATGTTCACTTGTAACTGCTGTTGCGAGTAAGTAGCTTGTGCCGGCGTCGGTGTCATCTGCAGTAGCCTGAGTTGCTCCTTCAAATCATGAACTTCTTCAGTCAGGCTATTTTCTGTTGCCGTCATATTTTCTGCGTCAAAAAACTCTCTCGTTCTGTCTGCTGATTACTAGAAGAACGTAGATAATATCGTCCGTTGGGCATGTGCGTTTGAATCCTGAACGTAGGGGTCACCGCTTTAGTCTTCTGGCTCAATAAAAGACTCACCAGACAAATATACAACTTGCTCTTTATTTCTAATATAAAATATAATTATACCCCCTTATTCTAGATCCCGAATTTTTGTAAATAGTAGCTACGTTACGAAAAACGAATAATCCACATGCTGCAGCCAGTGCTAAAAAGAGCTAAATAATACTAATAGTAGCTAAAATGAAGAGCTACATATTTTTGTTAAGGTTGAGCATTTATTGACGTGAGGTTGTTTTAACATTTTCTGCAATTTTAATAAAAACAACGAATTTTATAAATTTAAGTGCCAAAAAAATCTTTTAAAACCAAAACAAAGTGCATATATTTCGAGTTAGTTGTTATGGCACTTATAACAGTGAACTAAAAATACTTTACAAACTGTTAAATTCTGTAATTTCAGATATTTGAATTGAATAATTTTTTCGTAAGTGGAAAGTTTTGTTTCCAGCTCTCCTTAAAGGTAAACTTAGTAAGGTAAAACAAAATTCGCGCTATCAGAAAAAGGATTTTCTTCTAATTATTTTTGAACTCTCTAACCTAGATCCAAGATACACTGCATCCCGAAATTTTCGATTTTATCCACGGTTAAGTTTTGGCTTATTTATACAACTAAAACTTTCCAGAGCTTAAAAATTGCTAGATAAATTGGAAAAGAGCTAGGAGCTAAAACCCAATTTTCGGAGCTAAATAGAAATATAAAGAGCTAAATCTAGCTCCAAAAGTATCAAAATGGCAACACCGGCTGTAACCCTTGCAAGAACATGTGCAGCATTGGATAGGTTCTCGAAGGCGCAGCAGTTGAGCGCAACCGTTGATAAAAAAAAACAGTGATCGTTATGCGTCCTCTGAACTGCTTGTTACATTAGCTGTCAAATTCAACTCTCAAAGGCTCACACCAACATGTTGTCTCAAATGATCAGAAAAATATTACGATCATCTGACACGCAACTGTTCAGTTGATCAGAAGTACACAACAACGCGTTCAGAAGGTGCAACCGCAACAGTTACTGAGCTGTTGCGCCTTCTGAACGTGCCCATTGCCAGCTATCAGTTGTTTTTCGAAGATAGCTGAATGAAGGAAAACAAAGTGGAAAGGAATGTAAAACAAAAAACACTCATCAAGTTATAGTAAAATTGTTTGATTTTACATGTTTTGAAGGGAATGATGGATTCTATTGCATTTGCAATTATAGCAGCGGAGTAAGAACGCGGTATGGGAATGATTTCACAAAGATATGCGGAGCTGTCGGGCATAGTAATCAAGGGCGCATCTAAGTCAGCTTCTGGATGAATTGGATGCCTGAAGAACTGGTTCTGAATCCAGTTAATGCAATAACCACTTCTTCCACGCCATTGAAAACATGCACTTTGTTAGGTCCACCACCTATTGCGCTTGCTTATGCCTTCGGCCGCGCTTATGTTAAAGTTCTTGGATTCGGGTTATGCGTTTGGACACAACAACCGAAAATCATTGTACAAATACCTAAACCGGACCAAGTTTTTCGACTAAGGGCCGTTTTCTTATGTAAGCTGTAAAGCTGCCTTTACTAACAGGGCAGATAAATTGTTCCTCACTTTAAAGTGTTTCCATTTTCCTATCTTACCGTTAAAAATAAATTTGTTATTTCGTAGAGTGAAACTTCACGACGTTTCCGAGTGTGAAACTTCACTACATTCGTCATAAAATTTCAAAGCTTGGCAATGCAACATAAGCAAATATAAAGCAAGAGCAACCTTGGTTGCAATATCTAATATATCTGACTCATGAACCAAAACCGAACCAAAATTTAAAGTTGGGTACAAATTTTTAAAGGTTGCATCGGGTGAGCAACAATTTATCGATTCGAGAAATTAATGCGCTGAAGAGAAAACGAAAACTCGTATATCGAGACTATAAAGTGGCCGGTAATCTAAAGGTTAGATGAGAAAACGGCCCTAAGTCAGCTACAAAGATTCTTTTTTGTTCGTTTATATAAAGCAGTGGATAAAAATATACGTACATATATGCGAAAGGCAAATTCATCTGTTTAAATCAATGGTCGGCACGCCATAGAACAATTGTTGAAGCTCTCATCACATGCATTTGTTACCATAGTTGCCAACTTGGTGCTTTCAGCACTAGATTTAGTGCTTTTTGAAAATTAAAACGCCAAAAAAATGATTTTGCGCCTAGTGTCTTTATAGTCCTTTTTTTCTGAACTAAAATTACTCCGATATAGTTAAAACCTGAAATAATTTTTAAATATTTAAAGCTGTGGCAGAACTGAATTTACAAAAATGTACAAATTTAAATGCATTTAAATACAGCCATGATTGATAAAAAGCTGAACTTGCAAACCCACCTTGTTCAATTCTATTCGCGTTGAAAATGCTAGTAGATATGCAAGTAAGTTAAGTATTTCTTTTTTTCTTTTCTAATTATTTGTAAAAATTTTAATTTTTGTACCACCTGAGTAAAACACATCGTTTCTTGGTGCTGAATCCAAATCTGGCCGCACAATTACTCTAGCACTAGAATTTTGAGATATCCTAACCTCAAAGTGCAAAAATCACGGTTTTTGGCGATATTTGAGGTTATATAATGAAAACATGAATTTGTTTGCTCATTTCGACTTGGGGCACGATGTTATGAAAAGAGCATCCATTGATTAAAAACCATTTGGTGCTTTTAGTTTGGTAAAACGCTTTTTTTCCAAGTTTTTGGTGCTTTTTGAAAATCAAAAGTTGGCAACACTGTCGCTGAGGAAGCAACGAAGCAACATTGAGGTTGGCTGTACTCTGTTCATGCATACTGAACATATATTTCGTAAAATAATGATGTGCGAAAAGTATTTCATNCATCTGTTTAAATCAATGGTCGGCACGCCATAGAACAATTGTTGAAGCTCTCATCACATGCATTTGTTACCATAGTTGCCAACTTGGTGCTTTCAGCACTAGATTTAGTGCTTTTTGAAAATTAAAACGCCAAAAAAATGATTTTGCGCCTAGTGTCTTTATAGTCCTTTTTTTCTGAACTAAAATTACTCCGATATAGTTAAAACCTGAAATAATTTTTAAATATTTAAAGCTGTGGCAGAACTGAATTTACAAAAATGTACAAATTTAAATGCATTTAAATACAGCCATGATTGATAAAAAGCTGAACTTGCAAACCCACCTTGTTCAATTCTATTCGCGTTGAAAATGCTAGTAGATATGCAAGTAAGTTAAGTATTTCTTTTTTTCTTTTCTAATTATTTGTAAAAATTTTAATTTTTGTACCACCTGAGTAAAACACATCGTTTCTTGGTGCTGAATCCAAATCTGGCCGCACAATTACTCTAGCACTAGAATTTTGAGATATCCTAACCTCAAAGTGCAAAAATCACGGTTTTTGGCGATATTTGAGGTTATATAATGAAAACATGAATTTGTTTGCTCATTTCGACTTGGGGCACGATGTTATGAAAAGAGCATCCATTGATTAAAAACCATTTGGTGCTTTTAGTTTGGTAAAACGCTTTTTTTCCAAGTTTTTGGTGCTTTTTGAAAATCAAAAGTTGGCAACACTGTCGCTGAGGAAGCAACGAAGCAACATTGAGGTTGGCTGTACTCTGTTCATGCATACTGAACATATATTTCGTAAAATAATGATGTGCGAAAAGTATTTCATGTTGGCAAACGCTTTTGGAAAAATGCAATGTTTGTTATGCTACAAATGCTTTTCAGATAAACATATCCACGTTATTAAAAGGCACTATGATTCTTTTCACAATAATATAAATAGTTTTAGCCTGCGTATTAACCAACAAACATACATACATACTTTCATTCAATTCAAGCGACGAACGCTTGTCTGTGATCTAATCGCGCTCTCACCAACACAGTCACAGTTTCATTTTTGCCGACCCCTGGTCTAAAGACTTGTGATATAGGCGAAAGCGTTTGCTTTATCCTCATCATTCCTCGCCCAGCTTCCGTTCTGAGTACGTAATGGTGCTTCTCGAAAAACGGGCCTCATCGCATGCTTCAGTGTTCGCCAAAGGGAGTAGTCAGTCTGTTTCGAAGCAGACAAGGACTGAAGGATCGACTGCGTACTTCTTTCTTTTTCCGCCTGCAACAAAATACGTAATTCCTTTGTATACACATTCAGTTCCTGTTTAAGCTTTGGAGAGCAAATTCTTTGCCATTACCTTCTTAATTTGCGCTTTTTACTTATTAAGTTAAGAATGTTTGGGGTGTGCAGGCCAGGGCAGTAAGAACTGCGATGTTTAATAGAAGGATTTGGTGTTGCAATTTCTGCGGCCTTAACTATTATATCAGTGAGATGTTCAGCTGCCCTGTCGATATCATTCTTGGTCTGAATAGGAATTTGCGGGTCAATGTGCGAACTGACATACTTTTGTATTTTAACCAGTTTGTGTGCTTATTGTAAGATTTTTTTGTTTTTATTCATAATTAATAAACATTTATAATGCTATGAGGCAGGGTGAATGATCTAAAGAGAGATCAAATAAGGCTTCAGTATTAACTCGGTGTCGCGCAATACCCTTTGCTACACCATTGTCAATGAGATCGGGTACTTTTTGGGGGTCAGATGGCCAATACGTTGGCTGACCAGTAGACAAGACGTCAAATCCTCTGCTCTGGATTACTTTATATAGATTTCTACCCTTTGGTGTAATCAATCTAGATCCCCAGAATGTGTGCTTGGCATTATAATCTCCTGCTACAATAAAATTACTGCCCAACTTTAGGAAAGTCATTAAATTGTTTTTCTGTTATGTTATGACAAGGGCGGCAGTATATTGCAGATACAGTAAGGCCACCCATGCGGTGTCATCAATGTGTATTGCAGTGTTATGAATGAACTCATCACTTTGCGATTATAAT